ACAGAGTGCCTTCACACTTACAATTTGGTAGGCTCCTGTGACAATTTCGTAAACAGGGAACCAATTAATATTGTTTTTACTCACTTGTACCAAGTTTCCTTGGGTGATAGGCCAAGGCCATACAGCTGGTTACATGTTGGTGCTGGAACAAGAAGGCAAGTCTTAAAGATCGTCATTCTGTAAACTCCCTCTTTATTTCTATTATTTCCAAACTATTGCAGGAAACATGGGTATATTGTTAGATTCTGGTAATTGATCAAATTGGTAGGCTTCTATATCTCAATTTAAGGGGATCCATGAAAGTAATAATCATCAAAACAATTTAAAATTAAGCAACAATCTCCATTTTGCTGTATGAAAATCCCAATAAGTCTCAGGGATTTCCGTTCCCTTATGCTGATCATGTGGAGTTTAAATTTAGTTTGCATTCTTTACTGGGAAGTTGTATTATTACATATGTTTTTATGTGGCTGTTGCATGCCACTAGACTTGCTTTCTAGTGCTGGCTTTCCCACCACCCAGCTGTATAGCCTTTGAGAAGTCATTTGACTTCACAGAGCCTGTATTAACTCCTTCATAACATGTCAAGGGGTGACTTCAAGTGTCCCTCTGGTGTTACAGTTTTATTTCTCCAAATAGATTGTAAGCATCCTGAGGTGAGAATAGCACCTTCTTGTGTCTTCTGGATTTACCACATTGTAGGTATTTAATAAATGTTTGAGGACAACATTGAAAGACTTATTGGCACACTTAACTTGAGTGGAGTTACAGGAAATCATTATTGACTGCCTTATTAACAATTAACTGTCTATAATCTGCATATGTAATTTTCCTTTAAATCAATAAAACTTCTGCTTCTGGTGAAGATGAAGTATTGTCCCTTCACATCAGTTCTTTTGCATGTTAATACATTAGCAATTGGTATCTTATTTTTACTGTAACTGACAGAATAATGTAGAGAAAGCATATGAGCAGGAAAAGGGGTTAGTAAAGTAACATTGTATAGGGCATCTTCAAAACAACAGTTCTGGTATTTCAAATGTCAAGCTAATTATCGGCAATGTTTAAATGCTATGATAGGCCATTTTTGCAAATGCTGAAATTTCCCGGCAGGTATGGACATTATAAAAATGTCACGTTTTGCTGCTATTGTATTACATGTCACCAGAACACAAAAATCTGAAAATAAAAGTTATATCTATATGCAATAAACAGAAACCATTATTTGTTTTGCATACGACTGTAAAATTAATTGGCAATAGTGATACAGTTTAGAGTATTGTTTACTTGGAAGGAAAAATAGAGAGGATTTAATATAACGTAATTTGGTGAAGTGAAAATAATGCTTATTAAAGATAAACTACAAAGGCTTTTAAACATAGGTTTTTAGTAATGCATATTCAGATATATGTTTCCAGGCCCATTTGCTATAAAGCAAATTTAAGTATCAGCTTTATACCCTTTGGTAACCCCATATTACACATACAGTTTTAGAGAAAATGAAACTTTAATATGATTCCACATAAAATGGTGAGCCATGCCAATAATTCATGTGCACTTCATATGCAAATAGTTTTATCTTATCCATCAATTATCATGTAAACATGGTATCACATGGCAAATTTCCCTGTAATACAGTACAGTACCTGTATATAATTATGGGTGCATTTTGCCAATGCAACTGTTACACAGAATTGTAATTAATTCCTCTGAAGATTACTGTGAGAGTTTTGGATACTGATGCTGTTTTTGGACATTTATTACTGCTCTTTAGTTGGCTTTTTGCTGTGCCTCAGAGACAGATGTAAAATTAGTGTCTATTTTGAGCCAGCAAACAGTACATCTTTCCTCTTGTTTATTGAACTGCAGAAAGGAATTCTTTGGGCTCCCACTTCTTTGTGGTTTTGAAGTAACTGTCTGTTTTTGTGCCAGCCATGTAGCTCCAATACATGTATAAAATTTTGCTGAGACTTATGCAAAGGATAGTTTATTTGACCTAATATAAGGACTGAATAGAACTTTGCCTACGTAATGTAGTAGTTTCTATGCTTTTGAGTACTGAATAAAAAAATACATATATGTATCATAAGTTCCAAAATAGACACTGGTCTAATATATTCTGCTCAATGACCCTCATTTAAAACCAGTATACATTGGTTATTATACAAAATTGAATCTCTTCTTTGCAGAGACAAAGCTACACTATTAAGATCTCCTATGCCAATGTTGATGATTATGCGCAAAGGCTCAAAATGGGAACAAATGAGAAAATGAGCCTATTTTTATTTTATTTTATATGTAAACGGGGTTAAACCCATCATGTGTTGGCCATTTTATAGTAAGAATATTTTGTGGTGAAAATTTCCCCAATATTTAAACTAGGTAAATCTACGACTAGACGTGAGATAACATTTTAAAGGAAAATCCTGGGGATTTAGAAGTGGGTGGGTGGGGTAAGAGCAAAAAATTCAAAGTCCATATCAATGGATTTAATTTTGATTGTCAAAAGGTCGACCAGAAAGAGCAGAATGAAATTATTTCACTTGAATTCAGATATAAAAGCTAAGTTCATTGTGATGAACTGTTTCACCTGGATTAAACGAAGTTGGGTGGGGGGCGATATGCCAGCATAATGTTTTATGGAAATGGATATCCTAGTTAACACAGATCTGGAAAAGATGGCATACTGCTTCTGTAAGTGAACTTGACAGCAGTTATTTATTTAGTTTAAAA